TTGGAAGTAATTTGTCAATCAATTATTGATCTTTTAAGTACCAAGCAATTTTTTTCTATTTTGTAATAAATTAAATAAAAATAATTTTGTCATATCTTTTTTAAAAATTGATTTGTCATACAAGACCTAATACATATGTTCCTTAAATTTTATTTGGATACTTATATTCTCTTTCTAATTTATGTCGAATCAAATTATACTCTCTCTATCCCTATTTATTTGTCCATATTTTCTATTCTTATTTACTTGTTCATTTTAATAAATCAAAAAAGAATAATAATTTTTTTTCCTAACATGCCCTTATTTAATTCTAGAAAATATCTAGTACTACTAAGAAAATACATTTATTATATTTGGAAAGTTACATAATCTTTTTAGTTAAAAATAAAATTGTAACTAATGTATGATAATAGTTGATGCCTTCTTAATATGTATATCACACTTCTAAAGTGGATACTAATTAGGGACAGATGAAATATTATATAAATTCATAAATATGGATTTCATATGTATTTCCATGACATGATAGTGAGAGGGCTATAAGTGGTCGCCATCAGTTATAAGAAGCCTTTAGCCCTTCGAAAAGGCAGTGTCTTTATTCATGACATTAAGGCAGTGTCTTAAAAGCTGGTCAAACTGATTTAAAAGCTGATTTTTAACTTATAAGTTGTTTTAAGTTGACCATATGTTTTATCTTTTTCTGTTTAATATTTTTATACAATCTCCAAATTATCTATATAACCCTAACATTTCTTTCTTCCATTTTTTCCTTTTCACGTTTGACATAAAAACTTCAGCACTTTTATCCAAACACATAACTATTTATTTTAAAAATAAATTTCAGCACTTTTAAAAGTACTTTTTTAAAGCTAATTTTATTAAGCCCATCCAAACAGGTCCTAAACCTTATTATCAGATGGTGGAAAATATGATTTGAGACTCATGTTTACAGCTATTACATATTGGGATGGCAAGCGGTACGGCCTCCCACCAGCTATTTTCCGTTTCTCTGTAACTTGATTATTTATGTATTAATTTTATATATTATTTAAATAGATATAAAAGTAATATAATTGTATTCATTTTATATAATATTCATTTTAATTGCTTCCAATGTTTCCTTTTCGTCAATATACATTTTTCAAACAGATGTCCATTTGTTTCCACGACTGTCCCATCACATAGGCAGCATTCAATATCATCCTTATCAATTAAATCTTTTTTAATTAAAAAATTATACTATTCATTTACCTTTTATTTTTCTTAAAGACGAGTAGAAAGTCTTTCCACCGGCAACTAATAAGTGATGGAAACTAATCTGAGTTGCCAATTAGTTTAAGTCATAATTTAATCGTCTATTTTTAATTATCACAATTTTTTTAAAGAATTAAATTATATAAATTTTGATTAGCATTTTACAATACATTTTTTAATCATATTGATATGCAAAAAGTTACAATTTTATAATACTTTTCATATAATTTTTTTTAATTCAAAATATCAAATTATTTAACTTTAAAAATGATTTAAATTAATATTTAAAAAATGTAACATTAACAATTAAAAATGGACCGAGGAAAGAAGTATATGGGTGGGTGTTAATTACATATTTTTGGATGTTAGTGTCCACTAACAATAATCGATGAGTCAATCTAATTTGCTTACTTATTTAATAAATTTTAGTACTGCCAGTTAAACAAGATAATCTATATATAAAAGAATATTTTTGTGGTCCCATAGTTAAAAATTGTTTGCCTATTAATTAAAGGATCCCAACTTTTCTAATGAATATGCCTAGACCAGGGCCAAGTCTATTTAGTAAGTATGATTAATGAATAGGGTCCCAACTACTTATCTATTAAAATTAAAATTTGTACCTTATGATTTATATATTTATAATAAAGTCAACTCGTTATAGGCATGTAAGTTATATGTGAGATGTTGATGATTCTAAAGTGTACGGAATGATGATATTGTATTCACGTGATTCCAGTTACGTGCAAATACTGAATGCAAGCTAATATACTAATTAGGTGTGTGGCTACAATATAAATTATAACAAATTTCTATGCTAATATACTAATTAGGTGTGTGGCTACAATATAAATTATAACAAATTTCTATGCTAATATACTAATTAGGTGTGTGGCTACAATATAAATTATAACAAATTTCTATGCTAATATACTAATTAGGTGTGTGGCTACAATGTAAATTAGAACAAATTTCTATGCTGATATACTAATTAGGTGTGTGCCTACAATGTGAAATTATAACAAATTTCTTTAAAAGCATGCGTAGACAATGAAATTTTGTGGAATTTACAAGATGCGATTTAATTTGAGTTGAGACTTTACAAAGTGTGTTCAACTCAAATTAGGATTTTGGAGGTTACTTAATCCTAAATTTTAATTTATGCCTATATAAAAGGTACTAAATTCTCTTTAAAACATCTCAGAAATTTCATATAGAGATCAAGATCTCGAATGCTTCACAAATTGATAGATTATTCATATAACGAGGTCAAATCTAAATCATTCCAGTTCGAGAAATATGCCACTAACGATCCTGGAATCATGAAATGATGGATAAATCTTAAGAGATTAGAATTAAGGGATCAATAGAATTATTACCCACTATTTTAATGAATAAAATCATATTTATTCATATTTTATTTGTATGATTTATTTATTTTTCATATGTTTAAAATTTATTACAAACAACATAGTTAATGTTAGTTCAATTAATAACAATATATCTCACGTCGAGAAAATCATGTATTGCACAATTTTGATTGTACACGTATTAATGCTATAAATTGTGGTGGATTTTATCGACTTCTTTTTAATAATGAATGCTCTACTAAAAATATTTACACGAAAAATATTTTTTTTCGTATTAAATAGACCATTAAATTAATTTGTAAGATAGAAAAGTTGCTTAGGGGTTGGTCGTTCCGCCCCCTATATGCCTAATTGTGGTCTTAATCAATTCAACGTGCCGTATACGTTTTGCTTTGTCTCATTCTTATATACTTGTGATATTTCTCTTTTTAATTTTATTTTATATATACTATTATTATTTATTTATTTTGGATAATTTATTATTTTTAGGGAAAAATATAAATTATCTCTGTAAATTGTACCCAAAAGTTATTTACACACTTAAAATATTATAGAGACCGATTACACACTTGCTCTTGTTAAAAGTGTAACTAATATCACTTCCTAACGTACAAAACCAGTCACACATATTAGAGTTGTGTGCACGTGCCTGCTAGATCCTGTGCAAGAATACACCTGTAATTTTTAAATCTTTTCACTTGTTTCCTAACAAATTTTGCCTTTATCTTCTCTCGTCATTTTTAAATTTTTTATCCTAATCATTTTACCTCTATCTTTTCTCATCTTCCTTACATGAATGACACCATTTTTGTCGTTATTTTTTCTCTTCTTTCTTATCTGAATGACACATTTTTAATCCTTTCTTCTGATTATAAAACATATTAAACAAATTATTGCGACAAATAAGATCGACGGAGTAACAGAGATGCTTAAAAAATTTGGAAAGAAATGAGGGACATGGATAACAAATTAAATCAAAGTTATTATTCAATACGACTTTGTCCCACTTTTCATCGCCATTGACATTAATTTGGAACCCAAAACTTATATTTCTCACTTCTTAAACTATCTAAACACCTTTCTTTCTTTTGAATTTTTAAAATATGGGTCAAATGAACTTTAATTGATAATGATTTATTTTGAATTTTCTTTTTAGTTAGTAGTGCTTTGATGGTAATGGATTGTGAAACTTGAAATAAATATTTTAGTATGTATAAATCTATTAAATTTGCAGCGCTTTGTATACTTGATAATCTTGATAAGTGGGGGTGGGAACAATTGAATTTTCTTGGTAATAAATATTTCGAAATTTAGGGTTTCACTCTTTAATGTTCTTTTGATGCTAATGGGTTGTGTAAAATTTAGATGAAAAAATTATCTTTTTTTTGTGAATCACTTTGCTAAATTAAGTATGAGTCAAATTAATGAAGAATTCTCAAGTAATGATAATATTGAGTTAATATTGAGTGGGAAATTGTAGAGTTTAGATAAAAAGAAAATGAAGAAGAAGTCTAAAAGAGAATGAGAGACGAGCATGCAATTGGGTGGGGGATATTTTTTTTGACTTTATTTCGACCCAAATGCACCTAATTTATATTTTTATTTTATTTTATTTCTACGTCAATTTTAGGGTAATATTAATTATACTTTCATCAAAAATAAATATATAATAAATTCTGATAATAGTTTAAACACGTAACTGAATTTTCACTACAAAACAAAGAATGAATATATACCTTTTCCTTTTATTGTTACTATATGTTGGGGAAATTGTGGGATCCTCCCACATCAATGGCTGGCTATCGCATATAGTGAAATAGTCTATCATTTCACAACAAATAACATTCATAAAATAATATGTCTTAACCAGAAGTGTAGTTTATTTTGGTCTCAAATAGGTTAAAATTTAAGTTTAGTCATGATCCATTTAATTTGAACTGTTTAATCTCAGTAATTTTGATAATGTATTATTATTCAACTTTATAATCATAATTTGAATTTTAACTTAAGAAAATTTAAATAAAAAAGTTATAAATGGATATATAAATCCTCAAAAATATAAAATAGATTGTAATTTATACTTTCAATATAAGAATTAAGAATATACATTATATGAAAATAAAAAATTTTAAAACGAGTTGAAACTGAAGAATAAATTGGGCTCAATTGAGAATTCTCTTAAAATAGGTTATAGTTTGATGAGCTGATATTGAACCTAATTATAATTACCTTGAGCCCAAGCGTTAAAATCTGGATAAGTTGGACAGATTACCTATACTAGGGGTGTACATGACCGGGTTGATTCAAAATTTTCAAATATCAAATCAAATCATTTGTGAAATTTTTTTAAGTTTATAAACCAAATCAAACTGATAAAATTCGATTTTTTCGAGTTTTTCAACATCGGGTTGGTTGGATTTTTCAAATACCGAACCATTGTGTCAGATTTTTAAATTTATAAATCAAATCAAACTAATAAACCTTGGATTTTTTTGGTAAAATTTGCATACAAACATATAATTAACTTGTGCTCCAAATATTTCTTTAGTCCAACCAAAATACAATTATCTAAGGTGTTTCTTTAAGAAAACAAAAAAACAAAATATGAGATAAGTACTGATGAAAATAATCATAACTTAAAGTAATAAATCATGCTAAAATAAGTTAAATAAATATTAGTTAAATTAGTAAATATTTAAGAAAAATTAAAATTAGATTATATATTTTAATTGTCTAAACCAATCTAAAACTAAAGAACAAATATTCAATATTGTTGTCATTCTTATTGTTGATTTGATTTTCTTTTGCAGTAGTATTAATTTGATTATAATTTAAGTTTTATTATAATTATCAACATTTATGAAATATAATATCTTGAATTTCAACTTTTAAACTTGAAATAATATATTAAAAGATAAAAATTATGAAATATATAAGAAATATTTTAAAATTATATCAAAGTAAATATTTTCATGTATAAAATAAAATTTTAAAATTAAATAAAGAATATCGGGTTGGTTTGGTCTCGAGTTATTTTTTTAGTTAAAACCAAACCAACCTAAATATAGTCAATTTTTTTTAATAGTAAATCAGATCAAACCAAATCACTGGTCGGATTGTTCTTGATTTGACTCTATGCGATTTGAGCGATTTTCAATTCGATTTTGTACACCCCCAGCCTATATTTTGGTTCATTTTTTACACCCCTAATCCTGTCTATTATCGTATAGATCCTATATACAATTATTGCACCACAAAACCACCACAAAAAAAAACAATCGTTGGCCTCATAAACTTGGCCACAGTTTTCATTTAGACACTTTAATTAGACTTTGTTCATTTTAGACAACTCGTGTCAGATTACATTGTGTTATTTTGAAACTTTTTTCAATAGTACATGTTGACTTCAACTGTGTGTTAACTAAGCGCGTCCACGTGAATTGGATGCCCAATTATATCATGCCAACTCATTAAAAGTCTATTATATTAAAGAGAAAAAATAAGAATTAAAATATATGACAAAGTAACCAATGAATAAATGACATGTGGTCTTTTTATCCCAAAAAGTTAAATAAATGCACTTGCCAAATTTAAAGAGAAAAATGCAAACCCCCAGTCATCTTCCTCATTCATCTTCTCCATTATATTGCTCCATTTCAATTATTTCTTAGTTTTATATTTTTTGTCGTAAATCCTCGCTCATACAATCTACTCTTTCATATTTCTTCATTTTCATTAGCTTTGCTATCACACCCCAACCATCTTCACCATTTTATTCCTTTTTTTTTGTGATTTTTTTCTGCCATAATCCCCATTCGTTGCACCCTCTCTTCTATCTCTTCATTTGATTTAGGGCTAAAAGGTGCAAATCTATAACAATAATAGTTCATATTTTTGAGATTACAGTCTTTTTTCTTTAATTTTGTGATATTTGTAATTTAATTAGGGCTCAAGATTAGTGAGATTAACATTTACATAGTAAAAATTAAAATTTTTTTGCTCGTATTTTAGGATTATTGTGGGTGAAGTTTAAATGATTTGGGGTGTTGTTGATATGAGTTTGATTTATTATTTTTTTTTTCGGATCTATTTATATTTGTAGTGTGAAATTAAAATTATTATAGCAAAAGATTTAAGATTTGAGAAATAATAAAAGAGATAGTGGCTATAAAATGAAAAAAAGAGAAGAAAAAATAAAATAAAATAAACTAAATAAGTTCTTGACGCGTTAATGGCGAGTGTATAATACTCACAGCGTCAAAATGATACAACAAAATCCAACATAAAATGTTTAAAATGAACAAAATCTAATTAAAATGTACAACACTCACTTTACCATGTTAAGCGTGGATGAAATGATGATAAATTATCAATTTTAAATTTATCTAGGAAAAAGACATGAGAAAGAAAAAGAGAGCATTGGAATTATTGGAGTCTGAAATGAACTCACTCCAATTCCTTAAGTTACTAAGTTGTGAAAAATCTTGTATACTTGTTTCATTAGATGTAAATTCTTAGTGTTTTTTTAAAGTGCATATATGGTCCAATGGTAGAATTATTCAATATCAAAGTAAATACTAAACTACTATATTCCCTTTATATTATACATTTTTTTAAAAATGACTGATTATGTCATAAGACTTTTTTAAAAAAAGTTATATATTTAAAGAAAGCCGTGTCCCATCATTTTCCGACATACTCGATCAATTATTAGTAACAATTTTTAGTGGTGAAAGTAGGTAGGTAAATTTTAACAAAGATTGGTGGCAGGGCATTATATCATAAAAATGTAAATTATGCCTCAAAAAGAAACTAATTTAACAATATGTAAACATGAACCAGCAATTGGGTTCGTAGCAAATTCATTTTTCTTTTATTCTTAGGAAGAATGACATTCATATACACACACAATGATACACACATAAAGAGCTTTTATAAGCTTGTATTCAAGAAAATCTAACACCAAAAACTCCCATATGATCTTCAAATAAAGTAAAATAGTTCAAATATATCGACTTCACCGTCGATGTTATTTTCAAGCATAGAATTTCTTTTTTTTTTTGCTTAAATAGTTGAAGGTGGGGAAATCACAGCACCCTTAGCAATCTTGGCCTTGAATGACTTTGTCAAATCTGGAGTCCTATTAAGAGAAGCCTCTAAAATTGATGGAGATGCTGCTTCCCAAATTGATTTTTTCCCACCCGATAATTCTCTGTACGTTTGCCTGTAAATACATATAGAACAATAATATCATATCATTTATTTGCATGTTTTAGTTTTTATCTTAGTTAAACGATATGATTGATTACTTACTTTGACGATGTTTTCAGGGAGAAAAATTCGATCCCTCCTTCATCAGCTTCCACTACAAATGGAAAAAATTTTGGTACAAAAAACAGTTCACCTTCTTCCACTTTTGCATCCAACACAACCTTGCCAAACAGTCCCACAATTACAACACGTCCACTTCCTTTCGTAATATAACTCAAATGAATAGACGAATCTGCTGTAAAAATGGGACCAAGTACAGCACCAGGTTCCAAAACTAGGCGATTCGCGCTTAATCCAACCTCTCCGAGCAACGCTATATTCTTACCGCTCACCGAAGATAAAACTCCACCGTTTTTAACCTCAACACAAGGTTTTGCACCATCCAAGTTGTGAACCAACTTGCGTTTTGCGCTGTTGGATGCATTTGGAATTTGTATACCTTCATTTACCTTAATTAAAAGATTTAAACTACTTTGATCTTTCATAAGTTTTTCAGATTCAGTTATGTTCATGTGAAAAGATTTAGCAATTAATTCATTAGGGAATCCGTTTAGTATACCAGCAGCACTAGTTAAAAAGAAATAACAGTATTCTCCTGGTGTATAATCCTTAGACGATTCTCCCAAGAAAATTATAGTGAGTTTAGTGTCACCAGCATTGTACCACCATGACACTGTTCCCACCGTAACTGGTAGGGTATCCCCTTTTTGAATTTTTACAACTTCTTCTTTTGAATCTTCTGGTGAGATCAATCCAGCAATACATTCACCTGTGAAAATGAAATATAAGTGTTAGTTATTTTAGTCTGTTTCAAAATGAATATATAACGAAAATGTGTATATGTATGTTATATATATACCTTCACAAACATAAGCAATTTTAGAGGAATCAGCATAGTGAGGTAAAGCTAAGCCACGAGGCTGAAGAAGTAATAATCCAGCTGCTATTTGTTTCTGGCTTAGAACGGGAAATTGGCTACTTGACCATGTGTAGTATCCACCAACTCCTTCAACTTCCACTATCGTTTTATCGGCTTTTTTCGATGATAATATTAAATCCATCGATATATTTTCTTTTTTACTCAAACTATAGACAAAAAGAAGGGAATTGTTGTACGCATTCCGAAGAGTCCGTCTCTTTCATTTTATAGAGACAACACACCTCTGACTTTGATGTATAATAAAAAAATTGTTGCTTAAAATAGATCAGTATATTATTTTTTCCTCTTTTTTTTTGGTTTTAAATATTGAGTGTCGTTATCATAGAATATTTGAATTGTTATCTCAAATATAACCATCGGACTTTTATGTGTGAAATTATAGAAAAATGGAAGTATAACATTTTCAATTATCGAGTAATGATATGGTGTAATAAAAAAATCAATTCATTCTCATCACGATACAAGTAAATGGAATATATTTACTCAATCAACACGTCTTTGTGTATACTTTCATTTAATAATATAATAAGGTAATAATTATTTATTCATATACAATTTCATTATATTGAGTTGGAAACTAAATAAGCCACAAAAGTGTAAAAATGACCAAAATAAGCCACTATTTTAGTTAGTAACTAAAATAAGCTTAGTGGAAAAAAAAGTTCCACTTTATCTAATTTTCTAAATGTTTTCCGTTAGGGTCATAACGTGTATTTTTAATGTATAACGGAACTTTTTCTTCCACTTTACAAAGTGGAGTTTTTTCTTCCACTTTATAAGAGGAATATTTTTCACGTTTCGAAAAAGTTTTTTCAGTGTTGTCATACAATTATGTTGATTAGACATGTCATAAAACGGAAAAAAATATTACACTATGTATTTTTATTTTTTTATTCAGAAAAAACTTTCAATCTCTATTTAAGGTCGTTTAAAATGATTGATATCACCTACAAAATAAAATCTTCTATATTTTGTTCATTCAATCTCAAAAAAAAATGTCTTCTACGCCTAAAGTTAAAGTTTCAATTTATAATTGTCCTCCCAAACACAATGCTAAATATCCAATTAATGTTCGATATCATAAATTCATTTCATCAATTTATAAAAGAATGGGTATAAACAGTACTGATTATAATTTGATTATAGTCGGAAAATACCCTACTTCATTTTTATCACAAGGACAAGTTAATTTTGGAGAGTGAATTATCTATAATGACGAATCGTTGACCGACTTTTTGAGGGTTCCAAATGACTACATAGATCAAATCAAGTTAACAATACTTGAAATCTATGTTAGGAAGGAGCCTAAGATTAGTCAACAACGTTCTCATTTATCAGTCGATGTCAATCCCCAATTAGAAAATCGTAATAGCGTTGATGAATTTCCAATAACTCAATCTGCTGATTTTCCTAACATGACTCATTATCAAAATATTCTTACCGGCTGATATGATTTTGATTTAAATGAAACTATCAATGAAAGTGATCGGTAATGCTCAATAATTATATTTCAATCATTATTTATTGATTTTGTCAATTATTTATTAGTTTATATGATTTATTTTTCTTATTATTATATATTTTGTAGCGGTTTACCTCAGCAAGATAGGAATATTGCTCCAAGTTATGGATTAGATAATTATTTTGGTCAGTCATCACACTTTGAAATGACGGAAAATGTTGGGACATCCTCAAATTTTTATGTCTCGCCTACTTTTGGTGCAGATGATTTTCAGTATGTTCAACGTTTGATTTTTTTATTTAAGTAAGTTAATTGCATGAGCGAAATATTTATACTTTTTTACATATATAGGGAAAATATCACACAAGATGAACCCATTGATCCTGTGAATATTGATGATCGTGACCTTCCTAATTATGGCTCACCTTCAGGTAGTGATAGTGATGATTTGCCTAATGCTGAGGAATCAGGAGATAATGTTCCATTTGAGGCATCATCTAGTGATGATGATGTTTCTACCCTCAATCGATCGCCAAGACCAATGTCCATGAGCCCGTTTCGTAATCATGAAATTCCTTATCTTGATCATCTCCCGGATGGTTCAGATATCTTTGGTGATACATATGATGAGTATACATCACAACGTACGTGGCATGAACCAGAAGATTTCATGAATGGTGCTATTTATATTGAAAAAGGCATGTTATTCAATTCAAAGAAGCAGTTGCAAAGAGTAGTTAAACTTCTACATTTGAAAGTAGCAAGGGAGTACTTTGTTATTAAATCGACAAAAAAATCATGGCGACTTATTTGCAGGCGTGTAGAACAAGGATGTCGATTTAGGTTGACTTATTTTATTGATAAACATACTAACATGTGGAATGTTGGAAGATATATTGAAGAACATACATGTGATATGGGTACATGTCGCGAAGGACATTTCAACTTGGATGTTGAGATGATTGCTAACGTCCTTCGTGTTGATATAGAAAGAACACCAAGGTACTATTTTATCCTTAGATGATTCTTATTTAATAAGAAAATATTCATTTTTATTTGATAATTAATATTATTATTACTTTTCAGGTTTCCCATCAAAGACTGTCAAATAGCCGTTCTTAAAGCATATGGCATTTCGATAAGTAGAAGAAAAGCCTATTTTGATCGCAAGCGGGCTTTTGAAAAAGCCTATGGTACTTGGGAGGGTATTATTTTATCGTTTAATATATTATGGTCCAATAAAGATTATGGTTCATAAATGTTGATAATTACAATAAAACTTAAGTCAAAATCAAATTAATACTAATGCCAAAAAAAAAATCAATTCAAGAATGACAATAATATTGAATATTTGTTCTTTAGTTTTATATTGGTTTAGTCAATTAAAATACATAATCTAATTTTAATTTTTCTTAAATATTTTGTAATATAACTAGTACTTGTTAAACTTATTTTAGCATGATTTAGTACTTTTAAATTATGATTATTTTCATTATGATTTTCTAATATTTATTTTATATGATGATTTCATTAGTATTTTTTATCGAATATTTTTGTGTCGTTAATACGCATCTCATATTTTGTAATATTTTTTAAGAAACACTTTAGATAACTATATTTTGATTGAACCAAAGAAATATTTGGAATACAAGTTAATTATATATTTGTATGCAATCTTAACTAGAAAAATCTTAAAATATGGAAAAATCCGAAGTTTATAGTTTGGTTTGATTTATAAATTTAAAAAATCGACACAATTGTTTGATTTGGTATTTGAAAAATCCGAACCAATCCGAGGTTGAAAAATTCAAATTTTGTTTGTTTGATTTGATTTATAAATTAAAAAAATTTCACAAATAATTTGATTTGATATTTAAAAAAATCCAACCACCCGCTCATATACACCCCTACGATAATATATCCAGTAAATTTTTAAAAAATTATTATGTGATCTTATTTTATATTAAAGATAAAAGTTTTGTATTACCATTATAATATTATATGAAATACAATAACTTCAATAATTTGAATATTAATTACATTTTTCAAACGTTTCTGAAATTATAACGATCTCAAATCAGAACTCGTGAATATATTATTTCTTCGTTCGATATATGAATTATGTATCAAATATATAATTATATATCAAATATATAAATATAAGCTAGATTCATATCAACTTAGATTTGAAAGTGAACTAATCATTATCTTTGAACAAAGTGTTAATTTGAATGAGTGCCGAGCTTAGAGTCTATATTATCTTAGAAATTGCCACGAGTTGACTATGAAGTACAGCAAATTTATATTACATTTTTTTTTATTTTAATTTGCATGATATGTGAAATTCTGAAAATCAATCGAATTTTTCTTTGATTATAAATTTATAATATTTTTAAAGTAATAATAAATATATGAAATTACTTACATTAATTTTTTTAAAAATTATTTCAAGTTGAAATTAAAGAAATAAATGAATACAGAGGGAGGCAACATGACATGTGGCATCAAAAAATTATTTTTTGGTAGTTTATTATTTATTAGAAATGGAGCTTTATATTGTGTACACGTAAGCGCCTAATAAGTTTTACAATGCGACACGTTATTATCAAATTTGAAGAGTTCAAAATGCTTTTGTGATGACAAATAACTCAATGTCATCAACTCCAAGAAGCACTAATATCGTTGAAGGACACGTATACTAATAATAAATTTTAATTTTCATAACCCTCGTCTCATTTGATTTTAAAAATAAAATAAATCTAACCACATAAATATTTAAACATGATTTTAGATCATAATAAATATTAGATGTGTTCCTTTTTTTTCTAAAATATTGTTCCTTCCCTCTTTCCCTAATTATTTTTCAATATTCCTTAGTTATTCGTCTATTTTAACAAATTAAAAAGAATAATTTTTATTTTATTATGTTCTTAATTAATTATATTTTAAAAAGGTAGAATTTGATAAAAATTTGAAATTTTTAATTCATCTCCTTTATAATTAATAGTGATAAAATAGTCATTTATTAATATGTGTCGATTCAAAAGTGAACAAATAATTAGAGACAAAAAAAAACTATCTACCTTCCCTTCTCTTAATTTATATCACCTACTTTTGTTTTTAATCGGTCATAAAAAAATGACACATTTCTATATCAAATAACAATTTAACTTTAAAATATCCACTTTACTATTAATAAAAAATTTACAGCCACTTAAATTTTTGTCTTTCATTTAAAATCACAAAGTTTAAAAATCCTCCTTTTTTCTCATTTAAGTTTCACATCAAATTAAATAACTTCGCATAAAATGAGACTAAACAATTCTAAAATGAAACAGATGAAATACCATAATTTTATGTAGCTCGTCTAAACTGGCGTTAGTATATTTGATTTCCTTTTTTTTTAATTAAAAGCTACATTTGTGGTTCTTCTTTGACATTTGTGAGACTATTTTTTGTTTTCTCGAGTGTTTACCACATGGAAACAGTGATTTTAGATTGTTTTTTTCTTCTTATTATTCTATAAAAACCTTCAAAATTAAATTGACGTTAAAATGCAAAAGGAAATGTTGGCCAAATATATTACAACAATGAATTGTGGTACTACTAGCTCAACAAGATACTCTATATAAATAAATATTTTTGGATTTTCAAAACCAAAA